ATAATGCTGTTTACATTTACTAAAGATTTCAGCTTCAGTTCAATTAGTAATGCTGTAGAACATCTAGATGATCTTTATTAAATTGCACAGCAATGATTTCGTTTTTTTTGATGGTGGTGATTTTCTATCTGCTTAGCGTGTTTTTCTTTTGGTCAGCTCAGGAATTCCAAATGTAAATGATGCCTGTAAATCTATAACAGTAATCGGTATCTTTATTACAGAGTTCTTGCACTGATATTCACTCCTAGAAAAAGTGTGTTGCAGAGCACAGTGTTTTGATGTCAATCTGCCCTTAGGTTTTTAAGTTCTAAATTACAGATCTACTTACCTGATCCCCACTTTTGCTGGCTCCCTCCGAGCTGCTAGACCGGTCTCTGCAGTCTCTTCTCCCCTGGGCTCCAGCAGGCTAACGACCACTGACTGCATCACATCTAATGCAGGCTATGTAGACCTGCATTAGGCGTGAGAACACCGAGGGCAGTCCACCAGCCTAAGTGAAGTGGAGAAGAGGAGAGTGCTGACCACCGGGGGAGTGGGGAACAGGTAAATAAATCTGATTTACACCAGTCACCTAGACAAAAACGACCACTCGACTCCTGCAGTGTGGAGGTTTGCCCGGAGATAGGCTTTAAAAAACAAAACTCTTCTTCTGAGGCCTCATTGTTTTTTTCTCAGAACGTCATGACAAATGAAACCTGAATTTACTGGAACACTATATTGACTGTAATTTATAACTCCAATAATTCTCTTTTCCAGGGGTTCACATTTAACTGGAAACTTTACATGTTTAAACCATTTGATCAGTAAAAATGATATCTGAAGGTTGTGTGTGTCTGTTAATAACTATTTAACTACCAGCTGACATTTAAAATAATTACATTTTAAAAATGTTCGTTTTTTCTGACTTCAGCCAGGTCCAGCCCTAAGTCCAGGAACTAAATGTATCTGTTCTGCTCTGTGATCATGCAGCCACGGTGCTTCTGTTTTGTGGTTACAGAATAATTCCTGTGATGTCACCTCTGACCAATCTAAATTCACTCTTTTCTCAAGAAACAGATCACAGTGGTCCTCTCCTTGCAGATGCCAGTACTTAAAGCTTATCTCCAGCTACTAGAAAAATCAGAACAATCTAGTCCCCTACCCTCCCTTTTCACATTCCTGCCTGTGATTTTTATTAAATAACAGTATGCTTACTTTAAAGGAAGCTGTAGGTGTTGTGGTCATGTGTTGATTGCTGACTCTTTCTTTGTCCCTCCAGAATTGGTCAGAGGAGGTAATCAATGCTGCTCACGTGTCTAAATGTCCTAACATTTAAGCTCTGTTTTGTCACTTTTTCTATTGTATTGAGCACAGGTATGATCATGACCCCACCCCCCCCATTGACCAGTGGGCATTTTTATGACTGGCTGTGCAAATGCTTCCTGGATGAATGGTGCTGAGCATCATTCAATCAGGAAGTGAGACGGCAGCTGCTGAAGAAGGATGCAGAGAGGGACACACTGATGTAGATAAGGTAAGAAGTACTTTAAAAACAGACATACAAAAGAGAGGAAAATAATCTGAATTGCATATAAGCAAAACATCTTGTGTCAGGCTTTAAAGTGATTCAGTAGTTCATGAAGAAAAAAGTGTAGAAAAATATGATTAAAAAAATAAATAAAATTCCCCCTCCCCATAACTTCCAACTTGAGACTCTGTTATTTGAAAGTTATGCAATCTTAGGAGTTGCAAAGTTCAGATTTTATGTGACCCTTGACCCTCAGACACTCCAGCTTACTGTATGTGTTACTCAGAAAGTTACTAAGTTAGATAGGGGAGATGTATAAAACTTTCATTAAGCCTACATAATTGTAATAAAGACTAGATGTTCAGATTCTTGCCTAAGCCCAATCTTTGTTGTCATTTGATTTCCACCAGTTAAATGAATCAGACCCTCACTGTATAGTTTTCAAGTCTCTTTCTCATTATTACGAGATGTACTTATCTAAATCATGTATTATATTACTGATACACAAAAATGATTGTGGTTAGCATTCAGTTCAGAGAGAAAAAATTGGAAGAAAACTAACAAAGGAGATAATTAAATGGCAAAATAAATTCTTAAAGCCATGCCGCATGCCTGCCCTAACACTGATATATTGGTGTTTAGAGAAGTAAAAAGGGCAACGATGGAAACATGGGAATACCCATGTGCCCCCTCTTTGCCATAAATAATACCCTTCAATTTGAAACAAACATACATTGTACTAGTTATGAATGTTGTAATATGGCACCACTGGTCAGATAGGGTCTGAAAACAACTAATAAATCTAGGTTTGATCTATTGAAGTAGGGATGTTTCTATAATATTGGCACGCACATCATGTCATTAGTTGAGATTAGCCTTTTTATTAGCTGGTATCATGTCTGGTGTTTGATGCCCCCTTTAGTCTCCTGACTGTTTCTTAGTCACACCTAAGGCATGACAGTTATTCACTAACTCTCTCTTACCTCGCTTGCACTAGGGAGCAGCATAGTAAAAGGAAGTTTTATTTTCTGTGAGAAATCATAAAAGCCCTGGCCTGGGACCAGTGGTATTTATAGAGGCAGCTGACATATCAACATACAAGGGCTCTATCAGCCTTTGATAGAGATCAAACATTCTAAATTAAAGTATTTAAAATATGGACTCAATGAAAATACACTACCTTTTAATAAGGCAGTGCAAAAAAACAATGTCCATGCACAAAATGCAGTAACACATTTAAAACAGATTTCTAAAAAATATATTATGAATTACATTAGCTTGTGCATTGTTATTGATCTTTGCATTGTCTTATTGAGAAAGACCCAAACATTTTAGGGTCAGTTAATTTATGTTTCTCCATGTGTACTGTACACTATCCAATCAGGAGTGGGCAAATTGTCATTCTTTGTCCTTCCCTTGTATTTACTATTCTGGCACAATGGTACAATCTTTGTTTTTACTTTCTTGCTCACATTTGCCATACTGTATGTGCCCCTTTTACTGTATAATGTATATCTTAGTAAAATACTTAATAAGGTGTAGACACCATGTCGAATATATGAATCAAGAGATGCTGTGCCAACAATAGTTTAGTCAAATGGTAAAGGGTCATATTGGAAGAGGAAAGTATTTTCTATGACCCTATTTTATGTAATTTAGTTGTATTGATGTTCTTCACCAATGAATGAAAAATGTTTTCCATTTAAAATGGAAGAGCATTTCATAAAGAAAAAAACAGTGCTCATATCTTCCGATACTCAGATATTAAGCTGAACTTTTAAGTATAGTACAGTTTTGTTTATAGAAAGCAGCTGGTATGATAAGTTCAGAAATCAAATGGTAACAGGACCCCTAAAAGTAAAACAAAAAATTGTCTTAGGCAATTATTTCTCATTCTCTTAGCTACCAAAAAGAGGCACCAAAACGTCAGTTGTAACTTTTCTTCTATGAGATTACAGGACGGATTTTTAACATGTTACTTACCCTCTTTACTTTGCTGTCTATTTTGTTACAGTTTAAATGCTGTCTATTCTGTTAAACTTTTAGATATTTATTCATAATTGTCAATAAAATGGCTAAAATAAACTTTTATATAGGGGCTAGCTTATGTAACATTTTTAAATGAGAACCCATTGTGCCAGATCAATTTCACACTAGACAGAGCACCTCAGAAAACTGAAATGATTTTTTTTAGGAGTAGCTTTTTTTGTATGGGTGGCTTTTCACTCTTTGCTATAACTGTATAATTGTTGTAAAAAGCCTTTATTAAACATACTATAAATGGGTTTGGCAGATGGGGCAACTGTCTGTGGCACAGTGTACTAAATGCAATCAAGTTTCCGTTTTGATAGATTAGCTATTATGTATAGTCACCAGCACCAATAACAGAGAGATTAAACCCATATACCAATGGGGATTTAAATCTTAAAACCTCATACCACTGATCTGGAGTAACCGTGTAACGTAGTGCTATACATTGCACAAGACAGATGCACTATTTGCATATATGCTTTATGCATCAGTTTGATTTGACCATTGTAGATGTAATTTACATTCCTTAAGTAAACTGTTATTAAACTATTTTTATTTTCTTCTGAAAACCTTCTACTTTCCAGTTCATGACAACAATCTACTAATGGAAGTATAACCCTATTATATAGTCACTTGGTGGGAATTGTATTGGTGTTTATTTCTTATCCATACACGCTCTACCATCGGGGGTGGGTCATGGCAGTAGGAAGCCCCTAGGGCTCACTTTTTAGTCTGCAGGTATGCAAAGGGCCCTCTGACATTCCAGGCTTTAGGTCCCATCTTCCACCTACAGTCCCTTTACAGGTCCTACTTTATATTCTGAACGCACGGTTATTTTGTCACACATAATAGTTGCACAGCGTCTTAAAAAACTGTTATCTCTTTTTCCCCACTTGTATATATTCTTATATCCCACATTTCCTGCATGGCTTTACATGACAGTTATGACGGCGATGACCCATATGGCAAGGATTCACAAGACCAAAGGTGTTGATATTTAGCTGTAAACCTCATTATATCCGTAAAAGTTATTCTGTGTGTAGTAAAAATACAATGACTGAAGGTGTAAAAAAGACTTTACAGAGGAATCTATTTAAAGTACAAAATGTGAGAGAATGGTGGATTAACCTCTTCGCTGCACTAGGTTGCTGGGAATTTTTGCAGCTGAGAGGTTAATGATGAAAGAGGACGAGTGATATATTTATAAAGCTTTTCCTTACCATAATGTATTGGAGCAAGTTTTATCTTCAACTATGAAGACAAGAAGCTTTTTCAATAAAAGCTAAACTCTTTCTTTCTAAAGAACCTACAATTCGAAAATTAAATGCAGTGTGCAAACACTAAAATCAATTTAATGGCTGAATATCTTACCTTGAATTTGCAGCACTATTGCTAATGCAGTCCCTTCAGGATCAGAAAAATAGACCTAGCATCTTCAAAAAAAGTGATCTAACTGCATAAGTTAGTGTACATAATAAAGCCAATACACAACATTAAAGAAGGAAAAAGCAACAGGAAATATCATCCTTGACCACCGGTCTATGCCATTCACATCAGTCAAATCAGGAATTTTAATTCTAATCTGAGAGGCACTCCTCCTCAGTCGCCCTTTTTTGTGAACCATGTGCCTATCCAATGTGCTTCTGCTGTACATATCTCTGTTGGGGATGGGTTTCCGATACTGGATGCTGGCACTGTCATATGAAAACATAGTAGCTCTCGGGTCAATAGTGCTGGTTAGGACTTCTGTTCCGGAGACTTCATTTCTCAGTTCTAGAGTTGTCAGCAAAATGTTCCCATGTGCATCAACCTGCAAAATAAGAAAGTGTCTTCAAAAGGAATCTGTGCAGATGGACATCAGAAATAGTTTTTTTTAAAGTACATCATTTTTAAAATAACTTAACTTTTTAAAGGGAAGCTATTATGGTAATAATTAAAATATTTTAAGTTTAATATAAACATGCATACATTGCAATAGGAAGTAAGTGAATGACTGTAGAAGAACCAATTTACAGGTACATTTATAAAGAATAGATTATGCTAACTATGAAAAATAACCCAAAAAGACATTTCAATATGAACTTGTTGAAAAGGGAATTAATCGTTTCAGTACAGGATTTACAGCAGGACATGCATGCCATCCTACTTGATACAGACACCCTCCAGGCCACAGCAATTGGTTTCTATAAGGAAGGTTCTTAAGCTGAAGAGCAAGTGTTGTTTTGGGTCTGGTCATAGTGGGGAATTTATCAAAACTGGAGCAGACAGATTCTGGAACAGTTACCCATGGCACTCAATCAGCTTCTATCTTTCATTTTTAAAGCTTCACTGAACACACTGAAGAGAGGAGTTAATTGGTTGCCATGGGCAACTGCTCCAGATTCTGTCTGCTCCAGTTTTGATAAATTCCCCCGATGGTGTTCCTTAAAAGGGTCCCATTCAGTTAAGTAGAAGGAGTATGTTTATGAAACACTTATTCCTATGTTTGCTTTTTGATGGTTGGATGTTGTGGATTGCTAGTGCTTACACTATAGGATATACAGTATATAGACTTGCATCTTCCCCTAGCTAGTCAGTGCACTACAGGACTTACCAGGATTGAATTACTAAAGTCAAATAGGTTGTTCACTTTGCAAGAGAATATTTATTTTGCTTAGTGAATATGGTGAATATGCAAGGACTATGCAAAAGCAGTACTTTTGCTTCCACTTGATTGTATGATGGAAGTCAGAGGAGCTTCATTTCATTCACTTAACTAATTGTCCTTGCAAAGTGAACAGCTTATTTGCATTTAGTAAATCAACCCCATAGACCCTCATCTTCCCCTGTCTCCACAATATGCTATAGCAAGTCTTTGTAAATTACAACATGCTCATTCACCCACACTCCACCAATAGCACATTAGTGGAGTTGTCTTTCAATACGTTCTATGTCATCTCCTTAAAATTGATAACGTTGACAGTTGCTGCTCTATTTGATCCCTTCCTGATATTAAAGTGACATTAAACCCTCAGATTTTTTAACATAAAACAATACTGTAATGTGTGCCTTACTGTAATCCATGGTTGTTTCCATTCTCTTTGCTGCTCTTCCTTTTAAATCCTTATCTCTTCTCATGCTGGGGGAGAACTTCCCTTTGCAGCTGAGTGCCTCTTCCTGTAGTGCTGGCTCAGGTTGTGAACCTGCACACAGACACCATGCATCCATTCCAGAGACAAGGCAGTCTGCTGCAAAACAGAAGTTCTGCCCAGCATGAGAAGAGGTACGGATTTAAAAGGAAGAGCAGCAAAGAGAAGGGAAACTACCATGGATTACAGTAAGGCACACATTACAGTATTGTTTTATGTTAAAAAATCTGAGGGTTTAATGTCACTTTAATGGCAGTGCAGAGTGCTGCTGGAATTATGGTGTACATCCATACTTTCATGTTTAGATGGCCCCTACATCTAAATCTAAGCTTACAATTTCCTATGCTTTGGAAGTCTTCCAGCAACTGTCATGTGAAGATTTATAAGGGTTTCCATACACACCATATTCGATAGATTCACACAGCCATGTAATGTAGTCTTGTATGGGCTCCCCTCAAATCTATTTTCTCTTTTGAGATAGCTATTTGTGCAGACATGATCTTATGGACCGGTCTGACAGATCTGATAACCTGCAACTAACAATCTCATCGAGAGTTCAGCCTATATAAAATGGTTGTATCAGATTACAATTTTGCAGCTGAACAGTTGCCTATAGATTACAGCTCCAAAAAGTTTGAAAATAGATTTCTTTATCTTACTCTCTCACTGTGATAAAGGGGTTTGTAAACTGAGAGGTTTAATATTTTTGCATTTATACTCAGATTTCTTCAAGGGTATACCAATTATAAATTATAGGGGAGAACAGATACAATGCAATACTTAGGGGGTGATTTACTAACCTAAACACACGCACGCACCAGGTGCGTGTGATTTTCACACAGCAAAACGTATTTATCAACCAAAAAGTCTCTAAAAGCATATTTCCACTAATGCCATATATGGAAAAATCATGCACATGATGCATATATAATGCTGCTTCACAGTTTAGACAAAAATGGTTAGCTCATGCATTTACATTCCTGCATTCATCAACGCAAGCAACACAACATAGAGCTAATTTACACAACATCACCTTGCAATTCATGCAGGGCTTTGCACAACACACCTGCTGGGTGTGTACACACTACAAAGGTGTTTAGATTCCACCCATAGATCATGCTGGGAGGGAACACACTACAGAGGTGTATACATGTTCGTGGTGTGTTTATAAGGTTAGTAAATCAACCCCTTAGAGTCAGAAAAAAAGAAATTTGATATCTCCTGCTGGGCTGTTATTTTGCTAGAAGGAAGGATTTTTCTTAATAGTTGAAGGTGAAAGTTTCTCTAATAAACACTACCTTAATTCTAAAATAGTCAGCAGAAATATAATAGAGACATAGGGGGTGATTTACTAACCTAAACACACACACGCACCAGGTGCGTGTGCATTTTTACACAGCAAAACGTATTTATCAACCAAACACGAGCAACGTGTCACATTTTCACGCCGTTATGGAGCGTTTCTATGTATTTACGTACGTGCGCGTCAGGTAGCATGCGCCATAGGCTACACGCCGCTCTAATAGCGATATGCAAGTCTCTAAAAGCATATTTCCACTAATGCCATATATGGAAAAATCATGCACATGATGCATATATAATGCTGCTTCACAGTTTAGACAAAAATGGTTAGCTCATGCATTTACATTCCTGCATTCATCAACGCAAGCAACACAACGTAGAGCTAATTTACACAATATCACCTTGTAATTCATGCAGGGCTTTGCACAACACGCCTGCTCGGTGTGTACACACTACAAAGGTGTCTAGATTCCACCAATAGATCATGCTGGGAGGGAACACACTACAGAGGTAAATACTTGTTCGTGGCGTGTTTATAAGGTTAGTAAATCAACCCCATATTGTTGGAAAAGTAGTTGAAGGCTACTAGCAAAGGCTAACAGCATAGTGAATAGTTGGAGCTGCTGGTATCAGTTTGTGTAGAACAATAATTCTACCTGAATACTGAACTGCTGATTTGTGACACAAGTACATAAAACTCTTAGATAATAATTCCAGAAAGGTTATATTTGTATCTTGGTCTAAAAAGGATGACTATATTACCTTTTTATCATATGTTGCAATTGAAACACAACTTACCAGGCAAGACTGTAGGTATGTAAATGCAAGTGTTTTAATTAAATGTTTGGCAACCTATCGTTCACCTATTGTTCACATGGTTATGAAAAAAAGCTGATGGACTCGGTGGCACCAAAAAATAAATTTTTGAACTTTACAAAACATTAATACATTTTTGTGTATATGTTTATATAATGCTTTTAGACATTTTTGTGCCTATTTACCATATTCATTCATCATATTCAGTACTCTAGGTAAAAGGCAGTTCTCTAGCCACATGAATATTAGCTATGGAACACTGGATATGTTCTTAACCTCAAAGAATCTCTGCATCATCAAGTATAAAAGCAGGACTCCAGGTAGAGCCCCCCCTCATTCACTCACCGATGTCCACTTAACCCACACCTCCCTGAATACTGTTCTGTAATACATTTTGAAAAATTCTCAGTATACATGCGTTAAATCTGACCACATGATGAGTTGGGGGGCACTCTCCATCCTCTGGCGTGGTGGGTGGTCCTTTCTCCTGCATCCACCAGTAGTCGCACTATAATGTGTCAGAGCCAGTGTATGCAGCCTTCCATTGTAAGCCCAGGCTGTTTAATTATACCTCCCCAAAGGAGGTGTCATTGACAGTCTGGACTCACAGGAAGTGGGCCAAATGACATTGGGCATTGTTCAACCTACAAGAGGACCAGCACTGGCTGATGGCGGAAAACCCAGAGGACACTCCTGGAGCAGGGATTTTCTAACTTTATTTTTTCCACATGAGGGGGAGTGGCCAAACGAAAAAAAATCAACTGGCGTTATGCTGGACTGGGTAAAAAAGTTATTCATCTTACCTATTGCTTTCCTTTTTATGCCTTTTCTACTCTTTCAAATAAACTGGCTTAATTAAAGTTCCAATTCAATTCTGCTACTCTAGACACTTTCCTGTTTAATCAAAGCTAGCATATTCCTAAATCAAGCCAACTTCCAAACCTGTTGGCACTTGTTATCTTTCAGATACTTACTATCCAGTATAGAAAATTGAACACCTATATAATACCCAACTGCTGTTATTCTAAGCCAACAAAAGCCATTTATTATGAGGTCAAATATAAATAGTTCAATGAGGATGCTCCTAACTCTTTTTTAAACACTGTAAATGGCCTTTTCTTTGTTAACAACATTGTCCAGTACCTGGAGTTTATTCTTTTCATTATTTGCTTTCTCTGCTTTTTCTGCGGCTTTCTTCTGTAGCTGAGGACCTTTTCCAAAGAAGATGTAGTTCACAAAAGCATATTCCAGCAATGCCAAGAACACAAATACAAAGCATCCCATTAAGTAGATGTCTATAGCTTTCACATAAGGGATCTTTGGTAGGGTCTCTCGGAGATGGGTACTGATGGTAGTCATGGTCAGCACAGTGGTAATACCTGTAAGAAAAGTTTATACATGACTTAACAATCAATTCTTATTGGATGTACATCCACATTTCTGCACAGTAGGCTGTGCATAGGAAGGCTGAAGTAGGTTGTGCATATTTCAAGGAAGCTGGAATTACCTTTTTTGAGAGGAGTTGCTATTATATAAATGCCATTTACATGTAGATTGCACTCTTAATATAACCTCAATATCATTTTAGAACTTAAGTAAGCCTTTTTGTGAAATAATTCTAGGACTTCTAAACTTGGATCTGAACGTGGCATAGATATTTTTTTCCCTGCAGATAGAAAAGCTTTAGAGACCCTTGGCATAAGTTGGGTTTAACTACATTTGTCCAAAACAGATATAGCATGATGAGACCTTTGATTCACACAAGGAAATCAACAGAGAAGAATGTAAGAAAAAAAAAGTCTCTGGGAAAATAAATAAATAAAATCAAGAAAAAAAGATAAAATAGTAGATTAGGGCCTGGTCTAGGTCAGTGTTAGTGTCAGTGTTAGCACCAGTGTGTTTTAGGTAGGAAAAGAAAAATTAAAATGTAAACAATTTTTTCTGGGCACTTTTGAGGGTGCAACCCACAAATAATCCACACATACTGTATGTGGTATTGCCATGTATGAGAATTTTTTCTGTTTTTTTTGTGGTGGGTCATGGTAATGGCAAAAAAATAAATATATTTTTTACTATTTTGAGCCACAGTTTCCTTTAATAATGAACAACAACAAAAAAAAAAAAAACCAGGAGACATCCATTAACATTTACCACCAAATCAACATCCAATTTGTCCTGAAAAAACAAGGTATAATTTACCTGGATGCACCAGTTATTGCATAGCTATGTACAGCTTTACTAACACATTGCAAAGATTTGTTTTACCCTTAATCTTTCATGTGTTGAAGGATATGATTTGCGTGTCTCTGCTCACTATCCTAAACGAGGAATAAACCCCTGATTTTATACTGATTTTTATTTTTTAGATTTGTAATGAAGTAATGGCATGTAAATAGGTTTAGGAAGGTTCTTCTGTGTTGCTTTCCATGCAAAATACTGAACTATATTACGTTATATATTCCGCACTTACTATATTATACTGTTTGCTGTGAACAGAAATAACTTTACCTAGAGCCACTCTTGCAGCAGATGCATCATAGTTGATCCAGAAGGACACCCAGGACAGAATAGTAATGAGTGTGGAAGGCATGTAGGTTTGTAAGATGAAGTATCCAATGTTTCTTTTAAGTCGGAAGCTCAATGACAGCCGAGGATAAGAACCTGGAGATCAAAGTAAACATGTAAAAATAAACAAACTACATTAATATTTATTCCTAAACCTGTTTTTGCTGAATCCTCACCAGTGGAAAAGACTACTTTTTTAGAGACCATTTTGTAATCCATAATTGAGAACTGAGGCAGCTCGATTTTCTCTACTCCTGTGATTGCTTTATCTCCCCCGTTCCAGTAGAACTCGATGTCATCTGTTGTGTAGCCATCTGCAAAAAAACATTTTTTTATAGTAGGTTGAGAAAATAGGCATAATTTATTCTACAAGTTGTTCACTGAGACATCAATTAAAATCCAGTCTTACTAGAAAGAATGATTCCTTTTTGTTTGTAAGTTACATTGTGATGATGTGCTTCATAAAGCTGCCAAACAAAAGCCTTATTATTTGTGAAGTGATGTCTAGTTGGACAATTATTCACTTATATGTGGTTCAGGGAAGGGCTGCCATGGTAGAAAACACTTGTGTATACCAATAAGGGTCATCAATGAGACAAAAGGGTCATCAATGAGACATAGAGAAGGGCTCCTGGTTTATTTAAACAAACATTTTACAAACTTTACTCATCAGGACACCAAACAGTCATATGAATATCCCGTAGAAGGGTTAAGTTGCTGAACCATTATGGCTGCTACCCTTGGATTCTTTCCAGTGGTCCTTTGCAGTGTTTTTTGGTTTTGACATAACTGTAACACCAGCCAATTAGTTATGCTTGCCCCAAGCTAAACTAAACTTTATGACCTATAAAGGACCATTGCTGCTTCCCCTCTTTCCCCTGTTTACTTTATACCATTGCCAGCGGCAGAAACAACAGGAGATGGTTCTGAGCAAGCAGCAGGTAGGGATCCTTTTAAGAAAAACACACTATACAAAAATACACCTTAGCTATCTAATAGGAAGCATTTTCATGTGTTTCATGCAAAGGATTTTGTTTCTGTAACTTTTTGGGATATTGCAGATCACTGTGAGACACTTTTATTCTGTCACTTATCAAATTACTTTTTTTCTTCTTGTTTTAACAAAGGACAAAAGACAGCATTGTAAATGGAAAATATTGTTTTAACATGGATAGTCTGTGTAGGAAATCTGTCCTTTTCTGAGATGAGGTTTAAAATATACTCTTGACGTTAGACATGCTTTCATCTGTACATTTCACAATGCCATGTGTGGTGATGTATTATGGCATTTTGAACCACCAGGATGAATGCGACAGAAGTGTTGTATAAGCCATGGAAGGCAATCTGTAACATTGAAGGCACAGATGGCCAGCTTCAATCTTCTGTCCTCTCTGCCTCGTACTTTCCTCTGAGTGTAAAATAACATATCATTTGTGCATTTGCAGCCCCATGATACAGAAATGCCTTCTGTTGCTGCATTGTTTATTTGTTGATAAAGGCAACCATTTCCTTCTGTTTATAATGGGGTATTCTGCATGAGAAAGAATAATTAGCAGCAAGGAGAGCATGGTGTATGTATCTCCTGAGCAGTCCCCAGCTTCAGAGCAGCAGAAGGTCCCTCTATACTGATCGTTTTCTTCACCGACACTGGTCCAAAATTCTCATGAGATTCTTGTTTTTCTGTCAGTGTGGTGTTTTAAGATAGAATGGGGTTTAATAAAAACAGTATAACCACTGATGGCTTAAAGTATAGAGATCCACACTTATATGAGACTCCTAAGTAGAGATGTATGTTTTGCCATCATGACTGATCTGGGGTAGTGATGTAGTTATAGATGCTATTTAACAAATAGGATTAAGGGAAACCTAGCAGCTCTCATGAGCACATACAGTAATACCTTGGTTTACAAGTAACTTGGTTTGAGAGCGTTTTGCAAGACAAGCAAACATTTCTGATAAATGTTGCCTTGATATACAAGCAATGTCTTGCAATAAGAGCAAAATTCTGTAGAAAAGCGCCACCCGAATAAGGCTGTAGCAGTGCGAGCGATGAGTCTGTTTAACGACAATGCAATGTCACATTGGATAGATTCCTTGTTAAGGTTTCACGAAATGAAAAAGATTCCATTCAGTCAAGAGATAGCAGTGATTCCGAATAGTGAAAGTCGTCCTACACAATAATCCTCCTCTCTTGTCCCCCTCACACCGGCCACAAAGGTAACCGGTAATTGGTTTATTTGTCTTTATATTTTGTACAGTATTATATTACAGTAATGTATTGTATTCATTTTTATATGAATATTTTTGGGTTGTGGAACAAATCGTCTGAATTTCCATTATTTCCTATGGGGAAGTTTGCTTTGATATACAAGCGCTTTGGATTACAAGCATGCTGCCGGAACGAATTATGCTCTTAAACCAAGGTATTACTGTATTACTTTAAAGCATACATTTTGGTTAAGGCCAACATTCTTAAATCACAGTCTATAGCCATAGCTTTAGTTAATCCTTTGGCTCACTTAGGCCGCCAGAGACCTTTGTTTAAAAAATGATGTGCGGTCCTCCTCCTGATCCTTGAAGTCTGGTAGAAAAGTTAGGAGGGACCCCCGAGTTAAAAATAAAAAAGTGTGTGGGGTTCCCCACAAAAGTTTTTTCCACCTTTTTTGGGGGAGTGGGGTTCCTCCCTAAAATTCCTACCAGACCTAAAGGGCCTGGTATGAATTTGAAGGGAACCCCACACACTTATTTTTTTTTACTTTTTAACATTGGGTCCCTGCTAACTTTCCTACAAGAGCTAAAGGGTCTGGTATGGATCGGGAGGGGACCCCGCGCCGTTTTCTTTTTGTTTACTTTTTTTATTTTGCTCGCTACCTCGGAGGTACCTTCAGCAGCTTAGTGAGTTTTTTTTTTAATCACCAATGCTTTCAGCTGATACAACTAACTGCAGAAGGGAATTCCACATTTTACTGCTCTGTTAAACCCACTTACGCAGGCTGAGGTTATACTGCATCTCATTCAACTTGTTGTGTACATTTTCATAGATCTTCTTTTAAAGAGTTTATTCCCTATACTGCAGTCCCCATTGATGAGCTTGTAAATTGCAATAATAACTAGGGATGCACCGATACCAATGCTAGTACTCACCCAAATGCTCCGATACCTAGCCCGATACCTAGCCCGATACTTGAGCTTCCGGTATTAAGAAGTCGGGCAGTGAGTCATTACACGCTGCCCGGCTTCCTGATTGGCCAGGAAGCCGGATCCATGCTACCTCGTCACTTCTGTAATGACTCGCTGCCTGGCTTCCTGGTTGGTCAGGAAGCTGGCCAATCAGGAAGCCGGGTGCCGTGTAATGAAGGGGCGCCCGGCTTTCTGGTTGGCCAGGAAGCCGGTTTCATGCTCCCTCTTCACCTCATGACCAGGGAGTCGGATTCCCAGCCAATCAGGAAGCCGGGCGCTGCGTCATCACACGGTGCTCGGCTTCCTGATTGGCCATAAAGCCGCCTCCATGCTTTCTCGTCACCTAGTGATGAGAAGCATGGAGGCGCCTTCCCTGCTAATCAGGAAGCCAGGTGGCTAGTCATTACACGCCTCCTGGCTTCCTTAATGTGACTTCCGGGAACGATATCTGGTATGGGCGTGTAACATTAAGAAAATATCGGTACTCGTACTCAATACGAAAAACCGGTAACGGTGCATCCCTAATCATAACCCCTCTTAGGAATCTCTTCTCTAAGGTGAAAAGGTTTCATTTCTGTAGTCTATCTTCATAAATCAGACCCTCCATCCCCGTTATTAATTTTGTAGCCCTTCTCTGAACTTTCTATAGTTCAAGGATGTCCTTCCTGAGGATTGCTAATTAAAACTGAACTACATACTCAAGGCGAACCAATGTTTTATATAGTAGCCCAATTATTACATCTCAATCTACTCTATTTTGTACCCTACACTTGCACTGATGTACCAGAAGCTCTAGTTACTGAATCATACCACAGTAATTAAACATACTAATTAAAAGACAAGAGGTTGATGAGTACAGAATCTGTTAACTCAAGAGTCCACAGTTAAAACTGTTCACTGGAGCTATTAATATTCCAATCTTTGTATTAGAGTGCATATGTGCTAATCCAAGTTACACCAAGCATCATTCATTTACCGTATTCACACTCAATTGATTCTGCACACAATAATAGCTGATATGAGTGTATGTGCTGTGGTCAAGAAAGCTGAACTAATAAGTGTTTGAAATTCTATAAAGATGACTAATTTAACTTAGGGAGGGTAAAGGTAAACGACTTCACAGACATTAGACCAGCAATAACGATAATAGTAAACGGAATGATTGCCCTGTAATAATGGCACCCAAGAGAACAAAAGGTAATTTTAAGAATAATGTTTTTAAAGAGACCTTGTGACCAGACCAAGCTTATTTATATGCTTTGAAACAGTGGATTTAAAAACTATTTTTCTCTAAAGTTTAAGTACTTTGTAAGCTACAAATAAATTAAGTTTCACAGTTAACTATGTTAAATCAGCACTGATGAACATAAAGGAAAGTCATGCAAACACTTTAGACCAGCTGATTTTGTTACCAGAAGCATTTAGGTCAGATATTGTAAACTAGCTTTAGGTTGCACCAATAATTTTTGAGGTTGCCTTTAAAACCACTTCCTGTAGTTGTGTGGCAGATAAGTTGCGCTCGGTCTAGTTGTGAATGGGTGTGAAAGTGATCTCTCAAAACCAAAGGGGGGAGATCACCTTCAGATAACAAAATAAAATAAAAAGATATTCCTTGACGCGTTTCGTTGATTTAACTTTTTCAAAAGGACCTTTTGAAAACTTTTTCAAAAGGACCTTTTGAAAAAGTTAAATCAACGAAACGCGTCAAGGAATATCTGTCTTCGCCGCTTACAGCTGACATCCTTTTAAACGATTTTAAGCTTGATTATATCATTTATCTTGTCTTTGCCGCCAGTCGGGCGGTGAGTCTTTAGGAAATCCGTCATAAGAGAAAAACAAACCGGAGTGCTAGATCTGGAGAGAAAAGATTGTGCTGGATCATTATAACCACAGTCTTGTTCGGGAATCTCTGGACCATTGAGTGGTCGGATACGGACTCCTATGGACATCCCTGAGGAACCCTCTTTGAACTAATAAACTTTCCACTCAGACATTACGGAAATAAGGAAAGTAATTACTATTTTTTGCAAACCGCAATTTCTCTGAAATGACTGCTTAGGATATTTGGATTTGAGCCTATTAACCCCGTAGTTCCAGTTTTGAGAAGAACTAGAGCGCACTGGGCTGCACTTTA